AAGTAATATTAAGGGAAGAAGGATGATTTTGTAGTGAAGCCACAAGTCTGAAAGACCTGGATTTTATCTCTGACTCTGCCACTGACTTCCTGTAATACCTTGGGTATTTGACCTTTGCAAGTCATTTGACCTTTGCATGTCTCAGTGTCTTCCCCTTTCCCAACACTTTATCTATGAGGAAAAGATCCCCCTTTTTTATAATTTTATGCACACATTCACAATCCCAGCTTATACTAGGTGCTTTACAGAACAAATAAAGAAGTAAGAGCCTTGATCCAAAGTGTTTACAATTGAGTTTATCCTCATTCATTGCAGCACATCTGAAGTACAGCAGAGGTTAATGACAGACACAGATCATAGCAATAAAGTCACATGGTTATTCAGTTATGCTAGGTGCACATCTTGATGGTTCAGTTAATTTAATAAAAACAATGTTTTGTGTGAGACAGAGCCTGGCCTAGGAATTATATAAGAGATATTTCAGATGGGTGCCATGGTAAGTGGCATTCCCCAGTTGTACAGCATTCCCCACCACTGAATTTGTACTTGCAGGGATCTCCTCTCTCTACATCTGAATATTGCTATGTCCCTGACACGCATCATTTTCCAGGGAGAATTCTTCCATTATTTTATAATAGTCAACCATGGATTGATGCTTATTTTAAATGTATACAGACTTTTTGGATAAGAATTTTAACAGAAGAGGGATTAGGAAACAGAATTTCCAATTCCAATTCCCACCACAGTCAGAAAAAAAAATAATGCACAATTCAATGGAACTACTAGATCATTAGCACACAGAAATAGGTATACAAAATAACTTAACAGCTTTGAAGCAAGAAAAGTCAATTTAATCCTATATGCAAACATGCAGAGTTGACAAGTTTCAAGGCATACATTATTGCAGTTAACACTTACCTGTAAACAATTCTCTCTCTGTGTAAGTCCTCCAAGCCGCAGCACAGCTCTGCAGCATAGAAAACAGCCCTTTCTTCATCAAAGCCAGGATTTCCCATGTTGTAAATGTGAAACTTCAAATCCCCTCCATTCATAATGGTTAATACTAAACAAAGGGCATCTTTAGTCTCATAGGTGTAGGATAAACTAACCTAAAGACAAAAAATACTTGTTGGTTCATTCATGACCCCCAATTTCATCCCTTCTTTCTAATTCAGTCAGTAGATAGTACTTTTATAATCAACCAATTAGGCAATAGGTTAACTCTGCCAATGTTATGTTTTGGACAACCAGCTATTTTAATTTTCCAGAGAATATGGGAAAAACCCCAAACAATCACCATTGTTAATTTTGGGGCAAAAGAATCCAAGCTGATCATCAGCCAAGACCAATACAGACTAACACGGCTGTTACTCTGAAACCTGACAGTATGATAAAAACTTGTACAGGAGAATGGCTTATGCCCCCTGAAACACCACCCAGACACTGGATCTCTTATTGACAGTGCTCTTCAGTTTTCAGTCCACATGGATGAAGATAATAACTTGCACACAGAATACCTTTCCATGTACACTCAGAAATGAGTAATCACTGTTTCTAAAAAGTGAGACTTAGAGAAACACAGAGAGCTGTAAATTGCCCCAAGTCTGACAGAGTCAATGACAGACCAAGGTATATAACCCAGAATGCCCAACTTCAAGTCCCTTACTCTAGTGGCTAGAGTAGTAATTTCCTTTCTTGATAACAGCACCCTTTAACCGTGAAATGAAGAGCTGCACGAAGTCAAGCATAGTATCTCCTTTCATTGGTTAGCTGGAGGCACAGTATCCAGAATGAGGCACCAGCAGGGCAGACAGAGAAGTGAAAAAGTCATAGGGGGAGGAGGAGACAAATGAAATAAAAATACAAAAAGTGGAAAAAAGCTACATCAGAACTGCCACAGGAGTCTGTATAGCATCCTGCATACAAAATACATCTCAAAATGTTTGCTTAAATTCAGTACAAACAGAAACACACATCATACATTGTCCAAGAAGTGAGGTGTGGACAGTATGGTAAATAAAAGTGAAACACTCAGTTATAAAGCCAATATAAAGCCAGACACTTAAGGTATGTCTACACTGCAATTAAAAACCCGCAGCTGGCCTGTGCCAGCTGACTCAGGCTCATGGGGCTTGTGCTGCAAGGCTGTTTCATTGCAGTGTAGACTTCCAGGTTCAAACACTCAAGGACCCTGCAAGGTGGGAGAGTCCTAGAGCCTGGGCTCCAACCTGAACCCGGAAGTCTACGCTACAATGAAACAGCCCTGTGGCCCGAGCCCTGCAAGCCTGAGTCAACTGGCACAGGCCAGCTGCACGTGTCTAATTGCAGTGTAGACAGACCTTAAGAGCCACAAACAAGAAGAGATTATGTGCTTTCAGAGATCTTTCCAGAGATAAAAAGTTGATGAGATGAAGAAATATAGGGACGTTGTTCCAGACCACAGAACTGAAGAAGGAAGCCTAGTATCTATGGCAAGATTGTGCGAAAAAGAGGTAAAACTAGAGACACACCCTGTGGCTATTTCTAGACTAGAATTCTTGCTGAGGCTGGTACTCAAGTTAACTGGCAATTAAATGACTTGACACCACAAATATTTGTTCCAGTAAACAGAACATTGTGGCTTACCCTAGAATTCAGTGGGTCTTGATTAGCATTTACAAATTAGAGATAACTGGCAGTTGATTAACTTGCAGTAAAATCTCTAGCCTAGACATAGCCTGTGTGTGAAGCAAGTCTGTGGAAATATTTAAAAATGCAGAAGGCAGTTTTAAACTGGATCCTATTCAATGTACACGTGCAGTGGCAATTTTCCTATCAAAACTGTGTCTCATTCATATTCCTCATCCTGCCCATGTGCTATATGTGTTGATGTTAGTGCATGTTTGGGAAACTCAGCTATTCCTTAGTTCCTCAAGGTGCAGCAAGTCAGAAGATTTTATTTGCTTCATGTGCGAAACACTTTGAGATGTCTTCCTACACAAAAACCTGGGCAATAAGGTGACTGGCTAACAGACGTACAGATGGTTAGGCTGATATATCTATGCAACAGATAAACTAGGTTAGAACCAAGTTGCAGCCTGATAATCCCATTCTAGCCCTGACTGTAAGTAGAGTTGACATGTGATACAACCACATATTAGAAATAGTGTGTCAAATAAGGGCAAAAGTCAAATGCAGAGTCAGTCATCTTATAACCTTATATCTGCAATGTAGACAGGTCTTTACGGTGCTCTGCTATTCCCACTAGACAAATGCAACTCCCAAGTGAAATGAAGTTGGAACTACCCTCTAATTCTTTCACGTATAAATCCCATGAGAGGGAGATTCAATATTACATATTTTATTTCTCAGAGACAGACAGAATGGTGGCTACCCTTATCAATTTTTCAGGATTCTATATTGACAAATTCTATGATGCATGAGTTAGTCTTTAAAGTTAACTGGCCTTCATTTTAAAGGACTTGAACATTTTAGCTTTTATAGGTAGCTAAATGCTCATTACTATGAACAGATGAGATTAGCATTGGTCACAGAATGGAAAGAGAGTCAATATTAATAGATTAAAGGCAGAGGGAACATTATCTAATTTACTCTCCGGCATAAAAAACACCATAGAATTTTTCCTGTGATTCTTGTATCAAATCCAATAACATCTGTTTGAGCAAAAGCATATATTTTTGAAAGACATTTATTCTTGTCAAAAGATGGATAATCTATCACATCCCCAGGTAAATTGTTCTAACAGTAAATTATGCTCACTTAAAAATGTGCACCTTATTTCTAGTCTGAAGTTGTCTAGCTTCAGGTTTCCAGCCATTATATTATACCTGGTCTACTAAATTAAAGAGCAATTTTTTTCCCCATGTAGATACTTTTAAAATGTGATCAAATTACCTTTAAAACCTTTTATTGGATAAACTAAACTGATTGAGCTTCTTTAATCTCTCATTTTAAGGCTGCTTTTTAATTTTTTTTTTCCAGTTTGCCAACATAGTTTTTAAAAAGTGTTGAGACCAGACTGGACATAATCAGAGTAGATAAAAAATATTTTTTAATTTGAAAATTGGATTTGTTTAAAATGAAATTAATTTCTTTTTAAAAAATAAACCTGTTTAAAATTATATTTGAAATGACAATCTCTGTTAAGGTCTAAACTTAATATAATGTATTCAAATAAAAAAAATATACTGCATTAATCTATTACTTCTAAAAACTTGATGGATATGTGGTCAAATTTTCAAAGAGATATTTAAGTACCTGATGAAATCTTCAAAAGTCTCTGAACAGATTACGTGCCTAATGTCCATTGATTTCAATAGTAGTTAGGCACCTCCCCCAGTTTAGGCACTTTTGAAAAGCCCACTACGCAGCTAGGTTTTTAGGCACCTAAATACCTTTGAAAGCTGGCCCATTGTGATCAGATCATTGTGATCAGAAACAGTCAATTCACTAAACTACTATTAATTACCTGTTTAAAATATAAAAATAAAAAATAGTCAATTCACTAAAATACTGTTTTAAACCTGTTTAAAATTGTAATATTTACCTGTTTAAAATTATATTTGAAATGACAATCTCTGTTAAGGTCTAAACTTAATATAATGTATTCAAATAAAAAAATATACTGCATTAATGAACCCTTCTTTAGTTATACACATCAGAGAAAACCTCTAACTTCTGAGGTCAACTCAGCCTGCATTAAGTAAGTATTTGTATTATTTTCAGTCTTTACAATGGAAGTGAATCTGGATATTTACACTTTTCCAAATGCAAGTTCTTTCAGTTTCTGTTGTGTACAAAAGCTTTTGCCTTAATTATTTTTGGTTTCAGTTTAGCTAGTAGGTGCAGAGAGAATGTTTTCTTCATTTGTACTATTTCCTTTGAAGTCAAGTAACCAACTGAGAGATGATGAAGCAGGAAAGCTTGTTTTCCTCTTCCAACCTATAAACAAAAATCAGGTGGGAAGAGGATGAAACCAACCCGACACCTTTCTTTGACAGGGTAACAAACCTTGTGGATGGGGGCAGGGAGAAGCAGTCGATACCGTCTCCCATGACCTTCTCAGAAACAAACTAGGGAAATGCAACCTAGATGGAGCTACTATAAGGTGGGTGCATAACTGGTTGGAAAACTGTTCCCAAAGAGTAGTTATCAGTGGTTCACAGTCATGCTGGAAGGGCATAATGAGTGGGGTCCCACAGGGATCAATTCTGAGTCCAGTTCTGTTGAATATCTTCATCAATGATTTAGAAGATGGCACAGAGAGTACACTGAAAGTTTGCGGACAATACCAAGTTGGGAGGGAGGAGTTGCAAGTGCTTTGGAGGATAGGATTATAATTCAAAATGATCTGGACGAAATGGTCTGAAGTAAATAGGATGAAATTCAATAAGGACAAATGCAAAATACTCCATTTAGGAAGGAACAATCAATTGCACACATACAAAATAAGAAATGATTGTGTAGGAAGGAGTACTGCGGAAAGGGATCTGGGGGTCATAGTGGACCACAAGCTAAATACGGGTCAACAGTGTAACACTATTGCAAAAAAAGCAATCATTCTGGGATGTATTAGCAGGAGTGTTGTAAACAAGACACGAAAAGTAATTCTTCTGCTTTACTCTGCACTGATTAGGCCCCAACTGGAGTACTGTATCCAGTTGGGTTTGTTTAGTCTGGAAAAGAGAAGACTGAGAGGGTACATGATAAAAGGTTTTCAAGTACATAAAAGGTTGTTACAAGGAAGAAGGAGAAAAATCATTCTTCTTAACTGCTGAGGATAGGACAAGAAGCAATGAGCTTAAATTGCAGCAAGGAAGGTTTAGGTTGGACATTAGGAAAAACTTCTTAACTGTCAGTGTGGCTGAGCACTGGAATAAATTGCCCAGGGAGGTTGTGGAATCTCCATCATTGGAGATTTTTGAGAACAGGTTAGACAAACATCTCTCAGGGATGATCTAGAGAATACTTAGTCCTGCCATGAGTGCAGGGGACTGGACTAGATGACCTCTTGAGATCCCTTCCAGTCCTAGGATTATATGAATTAAAGTCACATTAGCATTTTAAAACTTTCATACAGGGAAGAGTGTTACGGTATAGGTGGATGTAGCAAGATCAAATAAAGTTTCAGTTTTAATATCCAGTGCAGCCTTATAACTTATACTTGCGGGAAAATGATTGTGGATTGTGAGCCTTGTCTTCACAGGCGGAAAAATATTATCCTTTATACAGGAATCTATTTACGCATGGCTTAAGATGCTAATGAGATTTCTTTGGCCAGCCTGGTTTCCCTTCTCTAAGCTACCAGAATTCTATGTTTGTTTAGAATAAAGTTTATCTTCTCCTATGCAGAATCTATAAAAGCAAAAACTTAGAAGCTCAAGCACTTTACAACTCTCTCTGAAACATAAAACAAAATACATCTATTAATGGATTTTAACGAGACATTTACCGATAGCTAATCTTTAAATAATAGCAATTCACTAATAAAGATAGATGATCCTAGCTGGAAAAACAGTTTTCTTAGCATATGTATTCCTTGTATTTTAGGCCATCACATCTGTTATTTAGTGATCAGGGCTGTGAGTTGATCATAATTTATTGGGAAATGTCATGGTGAAAGAGTTGAGACATGGAAATGATGTTGAGTTAAAAACCATCAGCACTCATACTTTTTAATTTATACCCAACACAGCTTTTCAATTTACCTCCCTTTCAACTGTATTGCATAGGCAGTGAGAACTTTCTGACATCGAAACTGCTGTAGAGCAGCTACTTTTCATAATTCTCTTAGCATGTATATGGCATTATAGTGATGAATGTGATTGAAATAGCTACAGATATAAGAAACAAATATATACATTTAAAAACTTAAATAGGTGATCTTATAGACCTTCGGGGAATTATAGTTCTCATTAGTATAGTATATTGTACTACCACTGTGTTGTCATTGACCTCCTGGTTCCCATGCAGTCTATGGTTGAACTCTGCAGCTCTCCATTATGACCTCTCAGTATTCATCCACTTACCATACTATTCACCCACAGCATTCAAAAGTCTTAAGAAGTTAAAAGTTGTGTATTTTTGTTGGGGAAAAAACTGATAGAATGGAAACCATGATTCCAATGAAAGTCAAAATAAAGGTCTAACCTCCCAAGTTGCTCAGGAATAGCAGTAGGATTCAGAAGAAGCAAGTATAGATTTGGGGAGAGGTGTGGAGCAATAAGACTAAGGAGAACATTACTAAATTGAGTGGCCATATTAGCAACCATTGGCTGCAGCAAAACTAGGATCACATTCCTCATTCAGATCACAGTCTGGCCCTCTTTTAAATAGGGAGAAATTTACCAGAATTATATACATTAACATAAGACAAAGCACCGTGGCTGTAGACTAGACAAAACTGATAGGCCAGAAATAACACATACATCCCACGCAGACCTAAAATGTACAGGGTAACATTGCAAAGATAATTGTGTAACTGAACTATTAAGCACAGTTGAGCTGATTTTAATTATGGAAGAGTATTGCTGACCAGCTGCCACTGGAAGAGATATGAATATAGTCAGGCCTATGAGAGACAAACTTGTATATTTCACAAGGCCAGAAATATATACTTACTACAAATCTACTATTCACTTTTTCTAAAATTCTTTTTTCATTTAATGCCATCGATTCTCCTTTTCTCTTCTTTATTCTCTTTTTTTCTAGCTTTTTACAAGCATACATTTTTCCTGTTGCCCGCACTTGGCAAGCACATACCTAACGGAAAGAGGAAAGATATGTCAGATGTATCAGATTTTAATACTGGAACAAAAACAGTTTTCTCTTTTCTAAACCCCCTCTGGAGCCAGAGGACAAGTAAAATACAGGAGAATCAATTAAACTGTTTCATGGGTGGACACACTGGGTTGTTTGTTTTTTGGGGGGTTTTTTGTAATAACCGTGAAAAAAGAATTGCTACACAAACCAACTGTCTTGTTAGGTGCAAGTGTTTAAAAGTAAAAATGCTGCCTGTTCGGTTTGGTAAATTGACAAATTACAAATGATCTAATCAAATCTGTTATTTATTCAAGGAACGAAGAGTGTAAGTCACCTTTTCCCCGTGTTCAAGGAGTTGCAAACACAAGTAGAGATCTCACAGTACTCACCTCTCCAAATCCTCCTTTGCCTAGTACTCGGTAATGTCTAAATGTGTTCTTGGTTACTGGTTGCCTAATTGACAGAATGGAATAATTACTGGTCTCACTTCCAATTATATTTCTTTTTGTTTTTCTTTCAGAGCCCTGTTTGTTTCTGTTTCTTCCCTCTTTTCCTATATAACTTCCATGACCACCAGACTACCCAATGCCTTTCCTTCAGCTGAGTGGATGAAAGGATTAGAATACAAACTGAATACCAAAGGAAAGGTACTTTTGCTTATGGACACTAGCTCCCCCTTGTGGGAAGCAAGCAGTCACTACAAGCAGAATGAACGAAAATTTAGGATCTATGCCACCCCACCGCCATGCATGTTAGTTGTTCTTCTCATGCATGGTTTGTGAGGAGACAATGTTTCAAGCTGGGATTTTCAAGTGTTCACCGACTCAATTCTGTTCCCACTGAAGCCAATACAATTTTTACCACCTTGCTTGTTCTATGTTTCAGAGGTATTTGGTCTAGTTTTCCTCCTGCATCTACGTCTAGCTTGCTTAAGGTTTTTCCAGTAATAGAAGCCTACAGTGAAAATTATGGTTAGGCACCTAGGAGCCTAAAGGAGCAGGCTTGATTGTTCACTACTTTTGACATTCAGCAACTGCCACTGACCTCCCTGGAGCTTCTAGGTGACAGCTCTTCTGAAAAAATTCAGTCCACTTATTTAATAGCTTAAAATATGGATATAGGATCCTAAACATAGGCCCCTCTTTTAAAAATCTTGGTTGGGCAAGTCACTTAACCTGTGCCTCAATTAACCCACCTGTAAAACCAGCTAATTATTTGATCGTACAGTTGTCTGTAATGATTAATATAATTGTATTAGAATAGCACCCAAGGCACCAATCAAGCTCAGAACCCCATTGGGGGCTATCACTATACAAACACATAGAAAGATTTTTTAAAAGTTTAGAGTAGTTAAATGTAAAATGCTTTGAGGTCATTAAACAGATGCTTTAATTATTAATACAGTGTCTACTACAGCTCCACTTGTTTGTCATCTCATCAGCCCATTACACCTTGTCTTTTACACTGTATGTTCTTTGAGGCAGAGATTGTCATTTACTATATTTGTACAATGGGGCCCCAAGTTGGCTAGCTTTTGCGTACTACTGCAATAAGTGTTACGTATAAAAATACCTTACCTTTCCAACCATTTCCACTGTAAAAAATGGGAGAAATAGATGCTTTGTTGGTAAGCTTCAAATGGTGCTCCACTTAAATAATCCTGGATAACCCTGCAAAAACAATCCATGTTTATGTTGGTAGACTGGCGCTATCAGGGATGAGAAGCTAACCACTTCATTAGACACCAATTTACATGTATCAATTAATCTGGAGGAAGGTGGAGTGAACATATTACAGCACTACACAATGAGTTTACTGGTCCTGCCTCAGAGAGAGTGAGGAGTTAGTACAATTCCATTGAGAACTATGCCTGTAGGGTCACTAGTGAGTGCAGAGTAACAGATCTTGCTTATTTTAGCAGGAAAATTTAAAATAATTCTTGAGGAATTAGAGATCAAAATGACTGATGCATCAGTAGATCTAATTTTAAGGTGGCACGGGAGGTGAGACATCCCCGCATAAGCATGTCCTGTTTGGGGATTGCACGTAGAGGCCTGCACTCCCTTCCCGTTGACCATAAGGAGATCCAATTTTGGGACAAGAGGTGAGGGTGTCAGGTGTGGAGACAAAAACAGAAGCACTTCTGATCAGCTTTCCAAGGCAAGCCTGATCAGAGGATGTGGCTCACCTTGAGAGCTGGTATCATTGTCCTATCATGAGTACAGATGCAGTGATTTTAAAAGATGTCTGTACATCAACAGCATGGTACTATTGAAAGAGGGATGAGATTGCAATTTAGCTAGATCAAAAATCCTTGAAGAGCTCCCACTGTGCTTCTATTTTTTACCCACATGCATTCCTTTCCCAGAAAGTCTCCATCACCTATACCTTTACCAGAGATAGCATCAACATTAAAAAGAACAGGAGTACTTCTGGCACCTTAGAGACTAACAAATTTATTTGAGCATAAGCTTTCGTGGGCTACAGCCCACTTCATCGAATGCATGCAGTGGAAAATACAGTAGGACGATTTTATATACACAGAGAACATGAAACAATGGGTGTTACCATACACACTATAATGAGAGTGGTCAGTTAAGGTGAGCTATTACCAGCAGGAGAGGGAGGGGGGGGAAATAACAAAAAAACCACACACAGTCTATCAGGTTACATTACAACTGCCAAAAAACTTCATTGCAAAATTAGATCTCTGAAGACTCACAGGACAACTGACAAACACCTTTTAAATCAGAGTTATAAGCAGCACAGTTAACAAGGCCTTTGAATTCCCAGATGCAGGTCAATGATTCAAACGGAACAAAAGTATTTTGTGCCGTGAGATGAAACACTCTTTAAAGCACAGACTCTGGTTTGACATAGTTAACTGATTCAAAACAAGTACACTTAAAGGACTAATTGTTAATAGTTTAAACATGGATTTAAGGCAAAATTCTCCTTTTAAGATCAGTTTGCCACATTACAGAGAGAAATTATCTTTAAAATGTGATTAAGTACTCAATGATTTTTCCCGAATTCTTTTCCAGAATAATCCTGCTAGGCAGTGGGTGTGCTGAGAATGTTACTTATTAATACTAGACAATTGTTTCAGATGGGTTTTATCAAAACTGTTAAAGTGGTTTTGGAATACAAGTTCCATTGCTAAGGTGACAGGGTTGCAATGCACAGTTTTGCATCCACATCTTTCATTTACAGAATGCATGTAATTGTGCCCACTGAAGTAAATGCCTTTGCGTGGCGGGGAAAAAAATAAAAGCCCCTCTGTGTCTATGCAGAGCAGACAGGATCTCAATTTTTAAAGACCAATACAAAGTAATTGCCTAGCATACAAATTATCTGCCTCAGAAGAATATAGAGCTGAGTGGACCCTTTTCTGGGATTTGAACTTGGATCATTAAAACCACCCTTCCAAACCAGATGGTTAGGCCTCTACACCACTTCCCTCAAACTAAGCAACACAATGCAAGACAAGATAAAAGGTGAGAAAGCTTCATCTTCCTTGCTGAACACAGACATTCACTCAAAGTCCAAAAAAAGAGGTGGTCATCTGTTGAACTTCTTAGTAGTGTGTATTCTGTGTGTCTTTTTTTATTCTCAAATTATGCAGAGTATTTAGTTTTCAGTTGCATAAACTGTGACTCAAATGTTGCAGGCTTTCAGGCAGACATGATCAAGCATGCATAGAAGAACCAGTAATATTAGAAGCGTAAGGGCTCTAGGAGACCGAACATTTGTAAATATGTACAATCCTTTCAAGAAGAGTCCTTTGCCTGGTGTAGGTATCTGCAGTGTCACTGTATTACTTGAGAACAAAACAAGTTGTGGTAAATAGTCAGTAATATTAATCATGATTGCTCATTTAAAACGGATTTTCAACCACAATGTTGAAATACTGTTGTTGGCCACAGTCACATGGATTCTAAATAGGTATCCCTTTGTTTATCCCTGGACACTGCCAACTTGAAGTCTAGACAGTTTCCAAAAAAATTACTTAATAGAAGTTTGGGTATTACACAAGTCTTGATTTATGATTTTATACTTTTTTTTTTTTAAAGGAAAGGAAAAATAGTTTCTCTCCTTTACTGAAGTAAAAAATAGTCCCCTACAAATGGGGGGGGGGAGAGACAATGAAACTATACACAAAGTAAAACTGGAATAAAGAGAAATATTTTTCTCATCTATTTCAGATATAAAATCTTAGCTGTTACCATTAACATTTGGGTACAAAATTTCAGGAAGTAGTGTGATTTTTTTCTTAATCTGAGGTTTTTTAAATGCAGTAAATCAGAATATTTCCCTATCAATTTGATTGGTTCACAAGAACAAAAGAATTAAGAGAAATAGAAAGGCAGGTTAACTCTGCTGCCATGAACAGCCCTAAGGACTTCAGTTGGACATTGTGCAATCAGAATGCTCTGCCTCCATTAGATCACTTTAAAGAACAGGAGCCTTTATCCCTTCCTACCTTTTCCACAAATATATGGGATTCATACAGCTAAATTCCAGAAACGTAGTTATTCATCCCCTGAAGTTCAAAGAAATTTGTCCTAAACCACATTTAAATGTTTAGGATTTTTTTTATTTTAAATGATGAGCACTCCATCCCCTCCAGACTCCCCTTCCACCAGCAACTCAGACAGATCCCAAGTCATGATGCACAGTGAGGAGGCCTTCGATCCTCACCAACTGTGTCTGCAAAAGGAACATTTGCCTAGGTAAAGGTCTTCTAGCTTCCACCAGCCAATTTATTCTGATATACTGCTTTGTTTCAATAGAGGTGTAAGTTGCCACCATTTCCCACAGCCAGCCACTAGTGCAGGAGTGGCCAACCTGAGCCTGAGAAGGAGCCAGAATTTACTAATGTACATTGCCAAAGAGGCACAGTAACACGTCAACAGCCCCCGATCAGCTCCCCCACCCTGCTCCCAGCACCTTCCACCCACTGGCAGCTGCCAATCAGCACCTCCCAATCACCTGTTTTGTGGCATGCAGGAGGCTTGGATGGGGAGGGAGAGGAGCAAGGGCATAGCAGACTCAGGGGAGGGGACAGGAAGGGGTGGAGTGGGGGCAGAGCCTGTGGCAGAGATAGGGGTTGAGCAGTAAGCATCCCTCGGCACATTGGAAAGTTGGTGCCTGTAGCTCCAGGCCCGGAGTCAGTGCCTATACAAGGAGCCGCATATTAACTTCCAAAGAGCTGCATGTGGCTCCGGAGCCACAGGTTGGCCACCCCTGCACGAGTAGGTTCTTAAGAAGCAATAGTTTTTACTGTTCTTGAAGTGACAATCTCAGCTTCCAGAATCATATCTTGTCCTATTTGTCTGCTATCTTGAGATCAGAGCACTTCAAGGACAACCTAATGACTCTTGAGCTAGCAATGTAATTAGTATTGCCATCTGTCCTGAAAATTGTAGGACCATCCTGCTGTGTAAGCATTGGGCCTGCAATTCTTTCATAAACAAGCTGCTCCAATAAAGGATTTCCTAGCACAGTCTAAAAACAAGACAAGGAAACTGCCCTCAACACGTCTCTGTACATCTAAAATCCTGACTTGTAAGAGGAAAAATATACAGTTTTCCCACACTCAGCTTTTTGAACTTGTGAAAATACTTGCCTGGTAGCGTAGTGTGCT